ACATTCAGGGTAACTATTGAAAGGTATGAATTTAGTGCCATTGTATTACCTGTAAGGTGACTGTTAACTGTCTGTTGTCTGTGTTCGTTTCTGCTCTTTGCTGCTTTTAGGTTCTCTCTTTGCTTAGAGGACCCCTCTCAATATTTCTTGGAGGGCTGGTTTCGTGTTTGCAAATTCCTTTAGTTTTTGTTTGTTCTGGAAGCTTTTTTTTTTTTTTGAGGTTTCAAAATTTTATTCAAGTTTTACTTTAAGTGATGTTAATTACAGCATTTGAAGGGGAGGATCTAATTCCACACAAAATGGAAGACTCTAAAATGTACCCATTAAACGGCTAAAAAATAAACCAAGTGGCAAGAATAGAACAAGTCCAATTTAGATTCTGAGTGTTGTCACAATGTGATTACAGTCACAGAGACTCTTCCCAGCTCAGAGCTGGGACTTTTAGAAGCTATTTCATACTCTGGTGCAGGGGCAGAAAACCACAACATGAGAGGGAATTAAGTCCTGAATTAGTGGCTTCATCACATCCATCTTCTCTACCCCAAAATGGGACAAAAGAAACAGCTACCACAGTCTGCAGACTACTTTTGTTGTAAAAGAGGTGATGGACTGGGGTGGAAACAGGTCAGGAAAATCTGTCTAAAAAAGTCTCTTTCAGATGGGTTTATACACACATCAGTGAGTCTCTCCTTCCTTCGGGTAGGAAACCCAGTTCAATTCTCAGGAAGTCATAATTTCATTCATGTACTCCATACCAATTAACAAAGTGCCTATAAATTATCAGCTTCCATTTGCAGCCATTTCTAGATAAAAAAGAAACCTGAACTCTCTGGAGGGGCCACCAAGCTCCCCCCAAGTCTACAGCTGAAAGAACTTTTCATGGACTTGGGTTTCTTCTGTACCTCTGAAAGGGTAACACCTTAAAGCTGAATCATCTTTAACCTGGAGGTCTAACATGATACTTAGCAATACTTGCATCCCAGACATACAACATTAAAAGGTACACTAAATTCTGAAGGTAGCTAGGCTCAAAATAGTTTAAAATTAAATGACTGTACAGTATTCATTTATGCCTGAAATTCCAGTCCTAGACCAAGTTGTGGCCGCCAGCATTGACATTCTTGCCATCCAGCAGAACGGATAGGGTCAGTTTGATACCTGGCTTTAGGGTCTGAGTGTACCCTAAACCTATCAGGCTGGAGTTGTTCACTTTAGCCGAGAAGCAGGCGTCAGGGTCGATCTGATACTTGGCCGCTATTCCAAAGCGAGTGTTACTATTTCCTGCTGTCCAGGCCAGATTGACAGCGGTCTCTAACTTCTTGTTCACCTTCTGATAAATGGAGCCACCAAATTCTGTCCCATCGTTTACGTTAGTGTGGAGCTGGAATTCGTCACTCTTGTAGCCAACCGCAAAGTTGCTCTGGGTCACTCGAGACTTTGCAGTCTCAAAATTCATCTGGTAGCCAGCCAGCCAGCCTTCATATCCCAGCACCACAGCACCCCGGACTGAAGGACCGGCAATGTCGAAATCCACGTCACAGCCCAGGTTGATGTGCTCCCGCTTATACCCTGTCTTGATTTTAGCATTTTTTTTCCCTGTGTTTGGCGAGAAGGATGAATCAAAGGTCAGCTTCAGTCCACGTGCAAGCTGATCTTCCACAGTGATCTCTGTGCCTGGTGTGTTGTCAGTGTTCCATTTCTCTGTAAACGTCAGACCATATTCGGTCCATCTGTACTTGGTTTCCAGACTGCCGGTCACTTTGGTGGTCTCAGTGTTGGCTGAACCTGAGCTCGTAAATTCCAGTCCATTCTCAGATTTTGTTTTCAAGTCAAGTTTTATTAAGCCAAATCCATAACCCTTGGTGAAGACATC